TCCACATCCCAGCCTCTCTTTCAGGGAGCACCATGCTGGTCCCTGCACACAGAACATGGGCAATGCAGACTAAAGCCAGGTGTTAGACTGTCCAAGCCCCACAGCTGTCCCAGGGATGGGAGAAGGAGCTCAGCACGGCTGATCATCTGGGATCTCAGGGTCGGGGGGCAGACCTCTGAACTTCCGTGCAGACTGGGGAATGTGTGGAAGAAGGGGCTGGGGAGAGGTGCCGGGGGCGGCGAGACTGGTGCTACCGGCAACAGGTAGAGTTCCACCAGCTCCTCCCAGCGTGGCCATCAGCAAGGGCAGCGTGGAGATGGCCAGTCTTGGAGAGATGGGGCCTCATGTTCTGGGGCAGGAGCCCAGACCTCAGCAAGCCACGGCCATTCACTGGGCCCATCCTGTGGACTTCCTGATGGAGGTGACCCTGCTGAAGACACGGAACAGGTTGGCATCTGAGGGCCCAACTGAGGTCCAGCTACACAGAACAGAAAAACTTCTGGGGACAAATCAATGAACTGGAGAACCAAAGAAGAATGTGGAAAAACAGCAGAACCCAAAGCTGCTCCTAGGATAAAATTCATATGGCACAGACTAGGCCAAGGAAGCACAAGCAAAGTGCTGGGCATGGCCTCTGGGTGGAGGCAATGAAGGCCCAGCGTGCCTTCTCCGCCCTCTCCTCCAAGGTGACCTTGGGTGACTCCCAAACAGAAACGGCATACAGAACACCTGTGGGCCTCCTTAAAATGCAGATTCTGCTTCTGGGAGAGGCCTGGGATTCCACATTTCACAGGAGCACCTGGGGGGTGCTGACACCCCAGCACACACGTGGGGAGGGAAGAGCCACAGGGTCAGCTCCAAGATGGAGAAGACCTGCTTGACCCCACTGGACTCTTTGGGAGCAGACATCAGCCTTCCATTGGGTCAAGCCGCCGAGATCTGGGGATTTGTGGCCTCAGCATAGGCTAATGTACCCCAATTAACACATTAGGAGGAGGGAGTACCATTGAGTCAGGCAACCAGTGTTCACTGAGTTACTGCCATGAACTCATTTTGGGCCGCAGGCGCCTCCTTCCTCAGGCGGCACTCACTGCCCGGGGGGCTCAGTGCACGAGGTGGGGGCACCCGAGAGGGACGGGCCCTCCAGGGCTGCTCGCTCGGGGCATCTAGGAGCACCTCTTACCACAGCCCAAGCCCAGCACCGCGAGTCAGGGCAGAGTCAGGATTCGAAGCCAGGATCTTTGGATTTAGGAGCCCGTGTTTTATTCCAGTAACGCGAAGAACAGCCGGGCTCATTCTGGGGTCTTGTTGGGGGAGCTGCAGCCACCGCCAAGAGCCTCATGGGTTCTCTGGACCATCTCATCCCTCTGGCACCGAGCTTGGCCCTTTGGGGGGCCCGCCCCTGTGTAAGCCGTCAGCAAAGCGGCAGTTCTTGCCGCAGGGCTTTCGACACCCTGAACCGCGTGTGGGAGGCTCATCTCTGACTCTTATACCACCAAACACCCCGATGCCAGCCCACGTGCTTCCGGGACTGGCCAGGCCCCAGGGCCTCCTGCTGACCGCATGCTGCCATCCCCAGTGACGAGAGAGGACACGTTCCAAGCACATGGCCACACTCTGACTCAGAGAGGCCCCCGGGGGCAGGGGTGGGGGGAGGATGGTGCAGGGAGCACTTCGAGTCATCTCTTGTCACCTCCCTGGCCCTCGCTGACCCACGACTCCTTCACTGTTCTGGGAGCCCACGGCAGCCTCACCGCCTGGCTGTCAGCAGAGGTCGTCCCTTCCACATGGCCGCGAGCAGTGTGCCTCCCGCCAGCTCCTCCCCACGCCCAACTTCTCCTGTCTTCCTTCTTGCTTCAGACGGAGAAGAGGTTCCAGGAAAAACTGATCAACGATGATAGAGGTCAGAAGAGTACCTGGAAGGGGTATGAGGAACCCTCTGGAAATGTGTCTTGCTCTGAGTGGCGGTGACAGGGGTGTGCACGTATGGGAAGAGTTGTCAAGACGTATACGTCACACTGGCACATTCCCCTTGATCTAAAAAATATATGCCACTGAGAGTTTTATAAGCAGTAGCCAAAATAAATCACAAACAAAACCATGACAGAAGGTTTGGGAGCCCGGGGGACCTGCACTGAAACCTAGTTCTACTTTCTTGCTGTGCAACCTTAGGCAAGTTACTTAACCTCTCTGAACCTCCCTTCATTGAGGCATAGATTGTGAAGATTAAAACACCACTTTTTGTAAGAAGTACTTAGCCCAGGGCTGGCTTCCTCTGCGTGCCCTTTATGTAATCACTTTCATTGTTCTTAAAACCAGGGGTCCTAGCAAGGACGGGTGGGGCCCAGGACTGGTCTTCCCTGAGCACAGACAATAAGATGGGCACAGGGTCTGCAGAGAATTTAAAGATAAAATGAAACCGATGAGAAGTCAGTATATAAATAGAAACCGTGTCAGTATATAAATGTAAATCCTGTCCGTTGTAAAGTACTTCGTCCTGAAAACATCTTGTCTTGGTCCAAGTTCTCAACAATTGATGTGGTAACTGTTGAATTTTTTTTTTAAAGATTTTTTTTTTTATTTATTTGACAGAGAGAGAGAGAGAGATCACAACTAGGTAGAGAGAGAGGGGGAAACAGGCTCCCTGCCGAGCAGAGAGCCCGATGCGGGGCTCGATCCCAGGGTCCTGGGATCATGACCTGAGCCGAAGGCAGAGGCTTTAACCCACTGAGCCACCCAGGTGCCCCGTAACTGTTGAATTTTAATTAAGCTTCGAATTTAGCACATTTTAATTTCTTATCCTATTTTTTTTTTCTTTTAGAGAGAGAGAGAGAGGTCAAGAGAAGGGAAGGGGCAGAGGGAGAGAGAGAATCTCAAGCAGACTCGGTGTGGGGCCCAGTCTCACAATCCTGAGATCATGACCTCAGCTGAAATCAGAGTTGGACACTTAGCCGACGGAGCCACCCAGGTGCCCCCTAATTTGTTACCTTTTTTTTTTAAGTTTTTTTTTAAGTTAAGTTTTAATTTATTTTAGAGAGAGCAAGAGAGCACAAGCAGGGGAGCAGCGGGCAGAGGGAGAGGAAGAAGCAGGATTCCGGCTGAGCAGGGAGCCTGATGCAGGATTCGATCCCAGGACCCCGGGATCATGATCTGAGCTGAAGGCAGATGCTTAACCAACTGAACCACCCAGGCTCCCCCCATTTCTTTCCATTTAATAAACCTATCCTACGTGGAAGGGAACTTGGAGATCTCTAGGAAGACAGAGGCCCAGCGCCCATGAACTCAGGAGCACGCATGCACTGGCAGCAGAAGCTCCTGACAGTTCAGAATCTTGCTCAGCCCTGTCTCCAACCCTGGGGATGCGGTTCTGCACCCCGACAGTAGACTTGAAGCAAACAGTGGTCACAGAGGATGGTGAGGATACAGGTATTTCAATTCTCTCGTTCTCTGTGAGTTCTTGGAGTTTGGGTTTGTGCTTAAAATTTAAAACAGTGAGGGATGCCTGGGTGGCTCAGTGGGTTAAGCCGCTGCCTTCAGCTCAGGTCATGATCCCAGGGTCCTGGGATCGAGTCCCACATGGGGCTCCTTGCTCGGCAGGGGGTCTGCTTTTCTCGCTGCCTCTGCCTACCTCTCTGCCTGCTTGTGTTCTCTCTCTCTCTCTCTCTCTCTCTCTCTGGCAAATAAATAAAATCTTAAAAAAATAAAAATAAAATTTAAAACAGTGAAACAGTGTGACTGCGAAGGGTGGGGGGGCTGTCTTTATTTGGTAAGTGCAAGCTTTAGTTCATACATGAAGACTATTTGTCTCATCTCAAGGTCGTTACTGAAAACAGTCCTGCCGTGCAAAGGAGTGGGGCGCTCAGCCACGAGGAACTGGGCAAAGAGCACCCACGCTTGCCTTGGACTAAAACATAAGCATGGATAGACAAATAGATGTATCTCCTTCCCTGCCCGCCTGGGGACACCGCCGCCCCACCCTGCCTTCCTCCTCCAGCCAGAACCCACCGAGACCTAGCATGCATTTCCATCTATGTCCCCCATCCCATCGCCTCTTTCTCCAGGACTAGGAGGAAGTCTCCCCCTCAGCAAGTCCCTCTGTCTGACCCTGTATCTGGTCACTCTTCTTTTTCCTCACCCACCACCCGTTCTGGAAGCCAGGGCCCTCACTTCGAGTTTTGGGGTCCTGGTGGAGATTATGGGGGCCAAAGTCTTCCCCAGCCCCTGCTCGACACCCCCTGTTGTGACCTTTACCAAATTCTACAGTCCAAGCCCTTGTCCTCACACCCCTTACCCCCACTGGCTGGAATGCTGGAGATGCCCCCAGAAATGAAGGGTTTGAATTTGGGTGTTCTGCTCCCCCCATACAGCACCACTCCCCACATCCCCCAGCTCCAGCCACACCTTGGCTCCCAGAATAGGCACGTTATCCTTATTGTGCTGACTCCTGCCTAGGTGTATGTGCTGTTCCCTCTGCCTGCAAACCCTGCCTGCTCTTATCCCCTCTGTCTCTGTAAAGACACCTTCTCCAGAAAGCCATCCCTCACCTTCCCTCTGAACAAGGATCTCAGTATGCCCAGGAATTCCACCTGTTTTCCTGCTGTGGTCTCTCCCTCTCTGGGCTTTGTTCCAAGGTCGCCGTTGTGTCTCCAGCTCCCACAGAGGGGGCCTCAGAGATGGCCAAATTCAATGCAATGGATTTGGTTCTTCCAGACCATCCAACAGGGTCGGCACACAGTAGGTCCAGCCTGCACAGGCTCATGCACCGTGGGCCGCCTTCCAGAGCCCAGGAAAGCCGGCGGGAGGGAGGCCCCTTGTTGCCAAAAGCAAACAGGCCGCCCAGGGAAGTTTTGCTCTGGGTCACACCCGCCTCTGGGTGGCTGCCAATCTTCCTGCCAGAAACCACAGGCCCAGCCGAAACTGCCCAGAGTCCGGGCCACACGGCTTCGGAGGACTTGGGTCAGCGCTGCAAAGGGGGGTGTCCTACGGAGCTCCTGCTGGGTCCACAGCGTCCCGGGGCTCAGGCTGGGGTCTAGGGCAGGGCTGCGGCGGCCACCCTCTTGGGCTGGGAGGAGCAAGAGAGGCCCCTGCCAGCCTGTCACAGGCTCTTGGCACTGGCACTGACTCTGGCTTTCACACGCTCAAACACACACACACACACTCACACTGGCAGGCACCCTCTCGGTGGCCTCCGCGGTCTCATCTTCAGGTAAATGGGCTCATCAGTGGGAGCATGAGGATGGGGACAAGAGGGGGAATGCAGAGGCCAGTGTGTGTGCACATGTCTCTGTGTGTGTGTGTTTGTGTGTTTGCCTGGGAGTGACCTCACAGCCGCCGGAACATAAAATCTTACAGTAGGTCCTGCCTCCCAGGCTCAAAGCTGGCTCCGTGGGGGACACAGTGACATGAGAGGCACGCCACAGACCCACCTTCTGGCCTTCTCCCTCCTCTGCCTCCTCTCAAAGGTAAGGGGGCCCCGGGCCCCAAAATGTCCTGCTGACTTCCTTGGTGTGGTGGGAGAGGTGTGGGATCATTGCCAAGGATCCCCTGGAAGATTTCCTGCAGGTCCCTGGTGTCAGGCACAGCCCAGCTTCCCTCCCCGGTGCCCAGACATTTGTCTCTGGCCAGCTCTGCTGTGCTGCCTCAGGCGAGTCCCTTCTCTCTGAGCCTCAGCTGCTCCCTCAGCTAAATGGGCATAATGATCACAAGGTCTTTGCAAAGATCACAATGGTAATTCATCAGAAGGACCTGGACCATGGCAGGTGTTCCAAAGGAGAGGGCCACGACTACTGGCGGTTCCCAGAGCCCTTCTACAGCGCTGAAGGGGGTGTCCTCATTATATATGGGAAGACGCAACATACAACCTGCTTTGTCTACCTGGAGCCAGGATTTGGATGGATGTTGGTGTCTACCTGATGGGAAAGTTCATACCACAAGGGCATTACTGCTGTTGGGTGTGAGTGACCTGCAGACCCGGGCTGAAGGGGGACAGGGAGACATTCATGGAATAGCGATCTCCTCTCAGGGGACATTTTTCACAAGGTTTGTGAAATATCTACCTTGCCTAGCATATCCAACAACCTCATAAGGAATTATTATCCCCTGTTTTTGGGCAAGCAAGGCTCAGAGAAGGCAAGCAACTTGCCTAAAATCACACAGTGAAGAAACATCAGAGTAATCGAGGCGGTGGAGCCCAGGTGGGCTTGGCTGTGTGGGGAGTAGGGAAGGGGCACTTCTATTTGTGCCTCTCCTGCTGCCTGGGCCTCTTCCCCTACCTGGACCAAGGCCCCAGCTGCCGAGCCCCATCATTCCCTCAGCAAATGCTGAGCTCCCGATGCCATGGAGACTGGCCCCACCACAAGTCACAATCTCATTGTACGTTCATGCTTCTCTGAGGATGATGGCAGGAGCATTTCTCTCCTGGATCCTGAGCAGGAGTGGGGGGCAAGGCTGTGAGCCCAGCTGGCATCCTGACCCCACTGTTTTTCTCCCCCAAGGGGCTGAGCAACACCCGATGCCCGGGTGAGTGGCTTGGGTAGTTGGAATAGGGGACTTGGGGTTCCGGGGCCAGGCCTAAATGAAAGACTCAAAGGAAGCTGTCTGGGACTCACTGTCCACCCCTCCCTTATTCCCTGTCCCCAGGAGCTGGGCGGGCGGCATACCGCACAGAATCAGGGACTTAGTCATCATGAATACAGAAAGCCACAACCATCCTCAGGGAGAGAATTCTAATTCTTCCGGCAGCCTGTGGGCTCCTAGGCTCAGGTCTGTGAACAGGGGCAGGTGGCAGAGACCCGGAAACGGACAAAGTCACCGTGACCAAGAGTCAGCCATGACTTCATTTAATCCTTGTCCCCATTTCCAGATAGGTGGTCTCACCCCTTTGAGAAGGACACAGCCTCCTCCCCACGAAGGATTTACATGGTGTGTTGAAGGTCACACAGCCCATCCAGGTACAACCTGGATTTCAACTCTTTTCTAGAATATTCCACGTCCAGGGCTCATCCCCCTGGTGACTGCAGCAAGGCTCAGGGGAAACAGCATGAGTCTCCCTGGAGATCCAGGGAGTCCAGAGAAGACAGGTCTCTCCTTGGCTGGGCTCCCTTGACCTCTCACTGTCCCTCCTGAATAAATAGGTAAACTGAGGCAGAGGTTAAGCTGGCAACAGAGCTGCCCAAGGACAAAGGTGGGTTGTGGTGATGAGAGCCTGGGCCTTGGATTCACGTGGACCTAGATTCCAGTCCTGACTCTACCTCTTGTTGGCCTCGTCCCCACACTGTTTTGAGCTTCTGTTTCTTGGTCTTTCCTGTGGACACAAAGCGAGTACCTCATCTGAAAGGGTTGAATTAGCACATTACAGCTCACGGCATGCCCGTGGTTAATGCTGGCCACATCATCGGTATTATTAGTGGCCCCGCCTGGGTGTCAGGACCAGCACATCCCCCTAAGCCAAGCTCACCCCGTAGGCAGCTTGGGGCGGGAACCCGGGTACAAAGCAAAAGACCTGTGGCCTGGCCTGGGAGGGAACCAAGAACCAATTCTGGTCAGGGGCCCCACTACTCACTAACCAAGGGAGCCCAACCTCTGCTTTGCACAGGGACCCCAAAGTCTGGCTGATGTCTCCTCAGGGTGATTCCATGAAAATTGTTTCCAGATTTATTACAGTGTAGGCTTGGGTTCATAAAGAGGGGCCCTAGATGCTGCCATAGACTTCCAGACAAGCCGGATGCTGCTGGTCTGGACCAGGCTTTGAGGGGCAAGGCTAGGCCATCTTCTCTAGAATCTCTTCAGTATCACCCAGTCTCCAGCATGGAATTCCTGCAGAGATGGCGACTCGCTCCCCTGCGAGGCCCCGGGGCACAGAGCTGCCCGCAGGCCTCCTGACCAGTGCTGTCCCTGCCTGGAGCCACCGCCCCCACCCCGGCCCCCCAGGCTGGTTGGCCAGTCTGGGGCGGCCCCTGGTGGCTGGGGCGTAAGCTGCAGGCCACTGAAGGCAAGTTTGCAGGACTGGGGGATTCTAGGGGTGGAACAAAGAGGGCCAAGGGTTTCATTGCCTGCTTTGGGGCCACACAGAAGTTTGGAGGTGATTCATTCTATTTTTGTAAACTGTAAGTCTTCCATCCTCCAGATGAAACCCTTTGGTCCTCCAAAGAGCCTATGGAACTAAAGATCGACCCCCCCACCAAGGGGGCTACTTGGGAATATCTTGAATTATGCCTGCCTCTGGGTCCCCACCTTCAAATGGACATATGGGGAGACCATGGCATCTGGCTTCTGGCTTGATTGTTTCTCTGTCCTGAGTGTGGAGGAACAACCAGGACACTTGGATCAATACCTTGACCCTGTCCGTGGGGGATGGGTCCCTGGCTCAGGCTTTTCCCAATTACAGGATCCTTAAGGAGGAAGTGGGCTCAGCTTTGCAGCTAACACACTCTGACTTCCGGCAAGATGCTTTCTCTCGCTGGAGCTCAGTTTCCCCCGTCTCTCCCTGGCAGGGGAATGGGGGTTAGAACTGGAGCAGAGGTGTCAAAATCCTAGCTATGCATCAGAAGCCCCAGGACAGCCTGATAAAAACACAGATTCCAGAGCATATCCCTGGAAGTTATATTTGGGAAGTCCCAGAGGAGGCCTGGGGATCAGTATTTTACCAAGTTTCCTGGCGGATCTGATACATATCCAGAAACATACTCTGGATTGTTCCAAAGATCAAAAACATCTATGATACTGTGTGATTTATTTAGTTGTCAAGACAAATATCTCCAGTCTACATGCTAGAAAATGTGCAGTGCCCTGCCATTGTAATCCTTTGTTTTGCTGATTTTGCCTTTCTGTAAGCTTCTGAGGGTGGGGCCCAGGTCATCCCTTGTAATTCCCGACGGTGATCATCATGGCTAAGGCGATGAGCATCTACAGCATGGGCTCTGTGCTCAGGGTTTAACACGCATCATTTCATGTAGGAAATCCTGAAAACAATCCTCTGAGTTAAATATTACTGTTGCCCCCTTTTCACAGATGAAGAAACTGAGGCTTGGAGAGCTTGAGTAACTTGCTCAAGGTCAGTCAGCTAATAAGGAGCAGAGGCAGGACTGCGACTCTAGGCCAAAGTCCTTGCTCACGACCACAAGGCCACGCTGCCTCTTAGGGAAGGGTGTCGCCACACTGCCAAGGTTCAAGGCCAGGTCTGTGTGACCCTGGGGCCAAAGCGTGGACCCCTCACTGCCCACCTGGAATGCCCGTGGCCGAGTGACATGCTCTGTCTCTGCAGGTGTGTGCCCAGCTGTGCCCGACGCCCTGTGCCTGTCCCTGGCCACCACCACGATGCCCACTGGGGGTGCCCCTGGTGCTGGACGGCTGTGGCTGCTGCCGGGTGTGCGCACGGCGGCTGGGGGAGCCCTGCGACCACCTCCACGTCTGCGACCCCAGCCAGGGACTGGTCTGCCAACCCAGGGTGGGCCCTGGACGCCGAGGGGCTGTGTGCCTCTGTAAGCAGGTTTGCCGGACGGATGCGGGTGTGTTTGGGAGGGTCAAGGCTGAGGGGTCCTGAGTCCAAGAGAAGCTCTTCTCTATCTCCTCACTTCAGGTGCACCAGCTGGTGGCCCACATTTCCCCAGGCCCTCCTGAGGCTCCTCCCCTCTTGTCTTGGCTTCCACCACGCCACCCACCTGGACAGCGTCCCCTCATTCCTATCTGTCCAAACCACAACCGACTGTCAAAGCCAACCTCACACACTCCGCCCCCGAGAAGTCCTCTCAGATTCCTTAAACCGGGAATCACTATCCTTTCTCAGGACCTTCGCAACACTTCTGAGAAAATAAAAGTGCAACTGTTTACTTGGCGGGGGGCATGGAGTAATAGGTGTCAGACAGTATGCTGAAACTACCCCAGGACCCTCACGTAAATCACATAATCCTCACAAGGACCCTCCGAGCTAAGTCCTTCCAGACTCACTTTACAGATGAGCCAGCTGAGGCTCAGTAATATTAACTAGCATGATTACTGTTATGCAGCTCGGGACTGGGCCACACAGGGTGTGATGCAACAATTCATTCTGCCTTCCTCCTGGAGTGGGATCCCTAGGACCTGAGTTTGAATTCTGAGTTTGCCATTTACTGGTGACCTGGAGCATGTTCCCTCTCCCACCATTCCAAGCCTTCGTGCCCTTGGATGCTTTAGATCAGAGTTCTCAAGTTTGCTTTTTGGACCGGACAATTCTTTGTTATCATTCTATATTGGGGGAGGGGAGCTGTCCTGTATCCGGCAGGACCTTCATCAGCATTCCTGGTCTCTGTTCCTTGGACACCCCTAGCATGTCCCTCACCTGCAAGTCGTGACACTCTGTCTCAGACAAATGTCCCCTGGGGAACAAAACCATCTCCAACAGAGAACTACTGCTTTAGAGAAATAGAAAAATGGGAGGGTGTTCTTTTTTTTCTCAATAAGTCTTATAGAGCAATCTATGTCTTCATCTGTTTGCATGTATCCCTTTAAAAAAATAACAAGGGCTCATGGATCACTGATAATGAGTCCACTTACAGAAAAAAAGCAAGTTTTAAAAAAACCCAACAAGACTAATAGACATAAAGTTATCAATACTAAATCCTTGTTAAACACTTTTTTTTTAAATCAGGGAAGTATAATCATGAGAAGATAGTGATTTGTTTTATAAACTCATACATGATTGCTAAGAAAAATGTACCTAGGGAAAAAATGAGATAAGTATCACTTATCTTCCCAGGCTGCTGTTTCAATGAGCCAGGACACATCTAAAGCATTTGGAAGCATTTTATTTATCCAACACTTTCATAGCCCCTACCATGTGCCAGGCACTAAGGGCTTCACAAATACCACCTCATTTAATCTCACAGAAATCGTATGAAGTGTACTAATGTCATCTGCATTTTATAGACGGGTGGAAAAAAGAGGCACAGAGAGGTTAGGCAACTTGCCTAAGGTCACACAGCTCATAAGTGGCTGAGCTGGGATTTGAACTCAGGGAGCTGGCTCCACAATCTTCATGTCCATCACTCTACTGCCTGATCCTCAGCATATGATTAGTACATATTGGCTGTTCCCATCACTAAATTTACTAAGGGGCTTTTCTTATTCCATCTTGATTCAGACTTTAGACTGTAGCTGATCTTTGCTTCTTCCTACAACTCCCAGCCGTGGACAAGTAACATAGTGAGTGCTCATGAGTCAGATCTGGAGGCTGGTGAACCCCACAGATAAGACCTTACAGAGGCAGAGTCTAGGTCTTAGCTCTGGAGGGAATATGCTGCCTCAAACTCTCCAGTCAATTCCTAGCCCGACAGACCTCTGACAGCGGACTCTGAGCTGTGTGCGTGTCCACCATAAGCTCCCGACACCCCACACCCTGAGTGTGCAGCCTGCCCAGCTCGGCCAAGGGCATCTCCACTCTTCCTGCAGCTTGAATTCAAAACCTTACAATCATGAATTACAGTCATTCTTGTTATCTGTCATTTTGTACACCCCACATAGTGCCCACCAGCAAAGTCTTCACAGTATTCTAGAACCTGACATTCTGGTCCCTTCTTAGTCTCTCCACGGCTACCGGCCTGGTCTGAGCCTCACCATCACATGCTGGCTGTTGCAGTGGCCCTATAACAGTCTCCCTACTTCTGTCCTCACCCCCTACTCTGTTCCCAACACAGCGGCCACAGGGATCCTTTCAATATATACATCAGATCACATCCCTCTTCCTCCTCAAGGCCTCCAACAGCTTCCCACCGCCTCCAAGTAAAAGCCAGTCCTCTCAGTGGCTACAAGGCCCCGTAATGTCCTGCTCCTGTTTTCTCTCTGACCCTGCCTAACTCCCTCTCTCTCTCCTGCTCTCTGCTCCAGCCATGCTGGCCTATTCTGTTCCTTAAATACCCTAGGGGAGGTCCCACTGCAGGGCCTTTGCACTGGCTGTTTGCTCTACCAGTGTTCTTTTCCCCCAGGTATCTGCGTGGCAAGTTCCTGCATCTCCTTCTCATCTTTCTCAAATACAACCTTCTCTGGGAGGCCTTCTCCGATCACCATGTTCAACAGCCCTCTCCTGAACCTTGCCCCCATTATTTTTCTTGTTCTAACCACCATTGGACATCATAAACTCTACTTGTTTAGAGTGTTTATTTCCACTAGAGTGAAAGCTCCAACAAGGGCAGGATTTTTGCCTGTTTTAGTCATTGTTGTATCACGAGTCCCTAGAACATGTCTGGCACATAGTAGGCCCCCAGTAAATAAGGACTGACTGAATGCATCAATGAGAGTAAAAGCTCTGGAGAGGCTGGCAGTAACAGGGACCGTTCAGGGCACGTGTCTTGTGGGCACACCCTTTACACATGTGATCTCATTAATAATGAACGTGTTCCTTCTCCCACCATTCCAATAAACCCTTAATAATGAGGTAGGTCCTATTATTAAAATGACTTTGCAGATGAAGTAACTGGGGTTCAGAGGGGTGAAGTCACCTGCCTGAGGTCACACAATTTGCAAGTAGCTAAAGGAAAAAAAAAAATCCTCTGTTGTTCCTTCTCCTGCAAAGGACTCTCAGAGGGAAAGAGGGACAGGCAGAGATCACCAGATGACACGACTGGGCTCTGAAGTTATTTGAGGGAGGTTGCCGGACAAGGGGGCATTGGAAGGACCTGGAAGAGGAAGTAGGGTTTTGGCAACTATATGTGTATATGGTTGGCGGGGGGGCAGGGGGTGGCGGATTGAAGAGTACGTTTGGAGGTGCCTCCTGGTGTTTGGGATCCCGCACAAAGGTACACAGACCCCAGGGTGGGGAGTGGCCGCCCAGGGATCCTCAGCCCCACTCCCAGCCAGCTCTGAGCTGGAGGACCAGGAGAGGTGCCAGGAAACCTTGCTAAAATTATCACCCCTCCAGCTGACTTTCTGAAACAATCCCTCTGTTTACCAGATCCTCCCGGAGACCAGGAGCCCAGGGCTGTGGCCCCAGGAGTCTGGTGGGAGACCCCTCAGGATTGAGGGGCAGCTGCCCCTAGTTTCCAGGAAACTGGCGGCCACATGATCCAAGCCCAAGGTCAGGGATTTGGCGTCAGAGGGCTGTGGCCTGGAAGGAGCTGGGAGAGAGCTGGCTCTCGTTCCGTCCTCCCCGAGGAACGGACATCCCCCACTCCCATTCACTGAGCATCTGCTATGTTCCAGGCTTTTGGCAAAATGCCTTAAGTACACTAGTTCCTTTAATCCTCCAGTGGCCCTGGGAGCCAGGTAATTTGGCTCAGAGAGGTGCAGTGACCTGTCCCAAGCCCCACAGTTAGCAAGTGGGAACAGGGGCTGGCACCCACATCTGCGCAGGTCCCAAATCCCTGTGTGGGTCCCAGATCCCTGCGTAGGTATGGGCCTGTTGGAGGTTTTATTCTGAAGACCTGGGAAAACCTGCCTTCAGGCAAATCTTTCCCCAGATCCAGCTGCACTACCCCTGGAGTCTCCAGGACTTTCGGCTCCTCCTTGCTCTGCCCTCCCTGGGCGGCTCACCTATGCCTCTCCTTGGCTTTTCATTCTGTCTGGCAGATGGTGACTTTCACATCTGTCCCCCGCCTGGTGCTCCATCTTTCAAGATAAGGACTATGTCTTAGTCCTGTCTAGGAGCCCAGTGGCTTGGCACCCAGGAGGGGCACATGACACATCTCCGGAACTGTAAGAAATCAGAACCCTTTTATGAGTGTCTCTTCTTTGCTGGGTCTTGCACGAGGCATTCATTCAAACGACCTGGGAGTGTCCCAGCCATGCTCTGAGCCAGCATTGGGCGGCCCCGGCCCTCAGGGAGTGCTTGCCCAGTGCAGGAAGTGGGAATAATGCCCATATCTTGAGGGCTTCATTTGAAGAGTGTCTCTTGAGCACCTACTGTATGCCTAGCACGGTGTTAGAAGTTATGGAATATCGTCTCCCGTACTGGAAGGCACGGAGCTGTTCTCATCATTGCTATTGTTAAGGCGACTCAGAGAAGTTAAGCAACTTATCTAAAGTCGCAAAGCCAGCAGGTTAAGCCCAGGCCTGGCAGGGATGACTACAACCTGGCAGAGGCACATTGAAAGTGTGTTGCATGAACTCTCAGTGTGTATGTAAGTTATATATTTAGTAATATAGTATGTAGTAATATAATATATAGTAATTAATTACATTAATAATAACAACAGAGCATCTGGGATCTGTTGAAGGTCTCTTTTATGTTGGATTCATTATATATATCATTTCATTTGGCCTCTACCACAACCCTGTGAAATAAGTGCCCTTATAACCCATTTTGCAGATAAGGAAATTGAGGTAAGGAGAAGTAAAGTCACTTGGCCAAGCTCCATAGCTAATAAAAAGCAGAGTGGGGGCTCCAACCAGGCCAGTGTCCCCACAGCCCCTATGCCAGGATGCGGTACACCACACTGTCTTCCCGACGGCACCAGGGGAGGCTGGCGATGGGGACCGGCTGGAGCGCCTTGGCAGTGAGCAGATGCGGAAGGGACTTGGTCCCCAGCCAGATCTGGGCCAGCTCTGCAGAGAGACCGGGTGGAGGATGCGGCTGGCACGGTCTTGCCCAGGGAAAAGCTGGGGGTCATGGATGGGGGTCCGGTTTCTCCTCTGCAGGGGGAGAGGATGACGGGAGCTGTGAGGTGAACGGCCGCCTGTACCGGGATGGGGAGACCTTCCAGCCCCACTGCAGGATTCGCTGCCAGTGTGAGGATGGGGGCTTCACCTGTGTGCCCCTGTGCAGCGAGGACGTTCGGCTGCCCAGCTGGGACTGTCCGTATCCCAGGAGGGTTGAGGTCCCTGGCAAGTGCTGCCCTGAGTGGGTGTGCGACCGGGGAAGGGAGCTGGGGGTCCAGCCCCTCCCAGCCCAAGGTGAGTGCTGGGTGGGCCCAGGCCAGGGCCAGGGCCACCCGGGGGTGGGGCTTCCCAGCAGCTGGGACACCGGACTTGTCAGAGCACCGGTTTCCCTGACCACTGCTGGGAGGGGCTGGTGGCTGAGGATACTCGGAAAGCCCAGCGGGAGTCACAAAACTTCTTTAAACTGACAAAACAACAAGTAAATAATTCTAAATCATAAATAATGGAAAATAAAAATTGGTGGCGGAATGGGGAAGGGAAGGGAGGGCTAGGATACTTGGATCAAATGCTCCCATTTCATAGCAGAGGTATACTATTATGATATACACTAGTATTCTATTTCTAATATATCGATATGCATTAATAATACACTTATATAATTTAAATATTATGTAGTATTATGAATATGTAGTTATTCAGGCTTATCCAAAGGGGAACTCAAAACTGAACCAGGCAAGGTGGTTGCCTCTGGGATGTGGGCTTAGGGGTGGGCAGAGGTGGAGGAAAGACAGTTACCTCTTGCTATAAACTCTTTAGTTCTAGAGAATTTGTTACTGTTACATTAGTGGGTTATTGTAGTTATATGAACATGATCTTTTTAAAGAAAGGCACCTGAAAAGAAGGCATTGGTTCATTGATGGTGGTGCCGCATCAGAGTAGAGCAGGGTGGGGTTCAGCATGGAGTCTGTCTGGGTTCTAAGCCCAGCTTCTCTATTTCCTAGCTGTGTGACTCTGAGAAAGTTGCTTAACTTCTCTGTGCCTCAGTTCCCCCAACTATAAGATGAGGGTAAATGTGTCTAACTTGCGGAGCTGTTGTAGGGGTCTGGATGAGTAAGCCCAAGGAGAGCAGTCACAGCAGCAGCTCGCACAGAGCACTCCATTCATGGCGGCTGTCATTATCCCTGTTGTGGAATGGAACATCCACTTAAATACATAGGAGGATGCCAGTGAGTTCATCTTATATATGAAAAATCTGGGTGGGACACTGTAAGTGCAATCTCATCTCCATTACGTGTGTCCGTGTGTGTGCGTGTGTGTCCGCATACGCCCTGCACACACACAGGTGCATATCACACATATCATAGGCTTTCTCAACCTGGGCACGAGTGACACTCCGGCTGGGTGATGCTCTCGTAGGGAAGCTGCCCTGTGCCCTGCAGGGTGTTTAGCAACATCCCTGCTGGGTTCCAGTAGCCTCAGTCCCAGCCGTGTCCATCAAGATGTCTCCGGACATTACAAAAGGAGGGGAGCACAGTCACCCCCAGCTGAGAACCATTTGGTTAATAAGGACCGGAAGAAAGGAGACCACAATATTAAGAAAGCAGAATAAGATGTGAGGAGGAGGAGAAGCTAGACGGTGCTGAACCCTCCCATCTTGTTCCAGGTACAGCCTCAGAAACCCTAGCAGCTTTGCCACCGAGTCCCAGCACCTCTACTCACAGGCCACAACCTCTTTCCTGGAAGATGCCATGGGGTACAGAAATGAGAAACCCACCACGTACTGGGGGACCATCACGGCCGGCACCACCGTAGCTGCCTAGTACCCCGCACAAACGAGGTGCTCACAGCACCGTGCTAAGCATGCCCCCTCCGTTATTTTACTAGGTCCTAACTATCACCCATTAGAAAACTTACATGGGAAGAAACTGAGGTCCAGAGAGGCTAAGGGACGTGACCAAGAGGGCGCCGCTGGCAGCTGGGTTGATTTGGCTGCCGGGCCCGGACCTCACAGTGCTGACCTCTCTTTCTTCCCCCAGGACCCCAGTTTTCTGGCCTTGTCGCTCCCCCACCCCCTGGCGCCCCCTGCCCAGAGTGGAGCACAGCCTGGGGCCCCTGCTCAACCACCTGTGGGCTGGGTGTGGCCACTCGGGTGTCCAACCAGAACCGCCTCTGCCGCCTGGAGACCCAGCGCCGCCTCTGCCTGCTTGGGCCCTGTCCACCTGCCAGGGGCCGCGGCCCACGGAACAGCGCCTTCTAGAGCAGGGCTGGGGATCTGGGGGCTCCGGGACCACCCTCCCCAGCAGGCAAGCCAGCGCTTGGGCCCTGAGCAGAAGGCAGATGGCTCCTCCCCACGCCCTTGGCTAGGCAACGGCATCCAGGCCCTGGAGGACCAGAATGTTCACAAGCCGTCTGCTCCATCTGGACCCTGAGATAGAGCCGGGATGTCTGCCCCAGCCCCCTTCCTCTACCTCATGGCCTAGGGGGCTGGCCGAGGTTTCCAGGGTCTTCTGCTCCATTCCCAACAGCCTTTATCAAACATGTGCATAGGCAAGCTTTCTAGCAGATAGGACAACCAGCTGTCCCTTAATCATCAGGCTGAGGCAGGTGCTGGGCTGGACTGGCTATTTTTCTGGGGGTGTGGTGAAGAGGGGCACACAGATATTCTGAATCTCCTGCTTCCTTTCCTGGAGTGACATAAAAATGTCCCCGTATATGTGTCTGTGCAAGAGCTTGTAGGTCAGGCTTATGCTGTCTGAGAAAGCTCCCCCACACCCCACCATCTAGGGTAGAATTCAGAGGTCGCACGTTTTGTGAAAGTCACAAGGTGAAATCACACTGTCTGGAAGAAAGTCGGAAAACAGGCCTGAGAGTGATCTATTAAACCCAACTTGTATTCATAGGAATGAACCTTTCTCAGGCACCTGCAAAGTACCAGGCGCAGAGCTAGACACTTTATATATAGGTTGGTTGCTTCGCAACATTTAAGACCAGAGAAAAGTAGGGGAGCATGAAGGATAGCCCCCTGGGGACTGGGAAACGTGGCCTGAAATAAACCAACCCAAGTGTGAAATTCTGCCTGAAGTCTCATGTTTTATTGCTTTAAAAAAAACAAAAACAAACCTATGTACAAATTTTCCATCCTCCCCTGTGATCTACATGTTATGTTTAAAAATAAAAACTGTGTTTTCATCAGACTCCAACCAGGAAATTGGAGACCACTCTCTGTATTTAAACAGGGATTTCTTCTTATTAAACTAATTTTATGGAGGCGCGGTTTACATGCCATGAAACACACAGGTCTTACCGTACGGTTTACAAAGTCTTTGAAAATGTGAACACCTGTGTGATCAAGACCTCCATCAAGGTCCAAAACGTTTCCAGAATCTCAGGAAGTTTCCTTTGGCCCCTTCCTGGTCATCTCCTCCGCCCCTGAAGGCAAACCCTGTTCTGAGTTTTATGACCAAATAGGATGGAAAGCCGGTTCTCGAACCTCACATCAATAGACTGGGTACTCTTCTATGAGTGGCTTCTTTCACTTAGTACCAGCTGTTGGAACGGAGGGTTTGAAGGAGAGCCCAGAAGCTGGGACCTGCCAGCGGAAGATGGAATCACAGCAGGTCCCTCTACCGGGAGCAGGTGCAGCCTTACAGAACTAACAAAAAGCCGACAGAGCTGGGGAGGCAGACCTGGCTTCTACGGTCCACCCCCCCCTGCCCCAGCTTCTAGGGGTGCCTCCCATGGGTCACCCCCACTGGGAAGGTAAGAGGCAAGGGAGCCTGGGAGTGTGGGGCGATGAGGTATGAAGCTGAGCAGGGGAAGGACGACCCAGCTCCCAGGATGCGCGACGACCCGCCCCTCGGAACAGCTGCCCCCGGGACTTTGCTCAGGGACCACCTCTTCCCAAAACCCCAGACTGAGAATCACAGGCAGCATCTGACCACCCAGTCTTCACAGAATAGAACTAACTTCAGGGCACAGAGGAGGAGACTGCTTGGGAAAGTGGTCTGTCCAAAAGCTGGTCTGCTGCTGGGGAGAGATTTTAGCCCACGCCAAGCTGACCTGACTCAAGACTGGGCTGATGGTCTCTCACACGCTGAGAGTTTCAGTGGGTCAGATTCCGCAAGGTAAACTCTGAACACACGGCCAGGAAAAATTCAGGTATTGTCTCTAGAAGTGAGGACAGCCAGGATGAAGACAGCTGCTAGGGGCTTTCCCCACAACTCTGTTGCACTTGGGACACACCCTAAAGGAAAGTGCTACTGATGTTCCCATTGTAAGGATGGGACAAATGGAGATTCGGAACAATGAATGAGTTGTCCTGGGGTTGTGGTGCTGGACCCCTGGCCGGCGGGCTGCAAGGTCTGCGACCTCACTACCCAGCAGCTCGGAACAGAGTGGCACAGGGTGGGCTCGGCCATCTGCCCCGTCTTGGCTCTGAGGTTTCCTAGTGTGATCTTAGGCAGGGTACCTAACTTCTTTATGCCTCAGTGTCCTTTCCTCTAAAACGGCGATGACGGCAGTACTCTACACAGAGGGCTGTTGAGTACTATGTGATTTAAATAACAATTTTTTAGCCATCATTCTCTGGACCTTTTAGTGCTTTAGTCTTTTCACCTGTAAAATGGGCATAAATAGAAGTGCCCGCCCTATGCGATCACTGTGTTGAGCGAGTTCCCATCACGTAGCGGTGTTGTGAGTATCAGGTCAGTCGTTCCTCTGTGTTCACTTGAAATATAATCTGTACAATCCTGCCTCCATGATTCTTTGCACGTCAGAGAGTGATATGAGGCAAAGGCTGAGAATTTTCTTGTTTATAAACAAGAGAAGGTGGTGTTGGGGGCAAGGTTACAGGTAAAAATCAGACTAACCCCCACTGAAACTCATAGCCCAGAGGTACCGGGCCCAGCCATTCCCCATTATATATTTATTTATATTTAAATTAAAGATTTTATCTTTAAGTAATCTCTGTACCCAACGTGGGGCTCAAACTCACAACCCCAAGACCAAGAGTCGCACTCTCCCTGAAACGAGCCAGCCAGGTACTGCCCCTCCCCCAGTTTTATTTATATTATAATATCCATGTTGTCGCAAGTAACAAGAGTGCATTCCTTCTCAACATTGGGTGGCATTTCATTGCATGAATATACCACACTTCATTTATCCATTCTATACTTAATGGGTAGTTTCCAGTCTGGGCTATTACAAAGCCTGGTCCCATTCTAGCCCACATCTCCTGCTGGACATTGGTGAACGTTTCTGTTGGATAAACATCCAGGAGCAGAACTGCTAGGGTCTGCACTCTTTATCCTGGGTCAGACTATCTCCCAGTACAATGCAGGTCTCCATCCAATACATGCTCAGTAAAGACTTATTGCATAAGCCATAAAGGTAGGAACTAACATTCATTACGTTCTCACCACATGCAAGACTCTGTTCCAAGCATCTTCTATGTAATCACTCACTTGACCTTCCTAATAACCATTTGAAGTATAATTATACCCATTTCACAGAGAACCTGAGATATGGCAAATGAAGGAAATAGCCCAAGTTCACAGAGTTCACAGTTGGCAGAACCAGGATTCAAACCAAAGGGGGTCATGCTCAAGAGCCCACACCCGTGGCCACCAGACTCCCCTGTGTGCAGTCACTGCAGGGTTCAGGGATAAGGCAAGCCAGCCTGGACAGGTGGTGGGAGCAGGAAAGAGGAAACGGGAGAATCGCCATGACCTGACATTTCCTGTGGGGTCTTATCTGAAGGGTGGATGTGAGCACTGGGGGAACTAAGATACCCAACACAGCCCTGGGCTTTGTGCTGGAGGATGGCAGAATGGAGGGGCCACATTGCCAGAAACTGGGGTGAGTGGGGAGCCCCTACAGGTGGCAGATGGAGGGGTGCCTCGATGTTTTGAGTTTGAGGATGAAGTAGTCACCCAGGACAGTGTGGCTGGAGGCCGCTAGATATCAAAGATGGGTCAGGGGACATGGACAGACAGAGAGACAAGAGTTCGGGTTGGGAATTAGAGTCACTCGCACAGATTGCCCTGGCCATTTAGTTACAGAAACACGGACAAGTACGTGTGTATGCTGGTGTATAAACTTCTTACCACCCCTGTCTTCCCACTGCTTCCCCAGCCAAGGCCACCACCGTCTCTGCCCAGATGACCCCTGCAGCCTCCTCTTGCTCTCCTGGCTTCCTCCCTGTTCCTTACAGTGTGTGCCAGAGGGATCCTGTGAACACCAAGCCAAACCATGCCACGGCAACCCACAGGACCCCACTCTGTGCCCCAGTCACCTCTTTGCCCTCAACCCCTTGCTCATGCTGCTCTGACCTCACTGTCCTCCTGGCTGTTTCTTGAACATGCTAGACACTCCCACCTCAGGACCTTTGCACTGTCTCTTCCCTCTGTCTGACGTCATCTTCCCCGAGATACCCCTGTGGCTACTCCCCTTGCTTTCTTTCGGGTGTGACTCGCAAGTTAAAACTTCATGGAGAGCCCACTTCGGCCACCCTCTTCTATCTTCCCGATGTATGTTGCACAAACCAAGCTTTAACACACTACCTGACTTATTCATAACATTTATTATTCATTGACCCCATAAGTGCTGGCTGGGGATTCCGTTTTCTGCTTTGTTGCCTGATAAATTCCCAGGACCTAGAAGAACAGTACCCAGGACAGAACCAGGCTTGGTCCTTATTGAATGAATGAAGTAATAGATGTTCCTTTTGAAAAGGCCCAGGTGACAGGGATTTCCCAGTGGCCACATCCCCCCATCCCAACCCAACATTCAACTCCAGTAGTTCTCAAAGTGGGGTTCCCAGACCAGAAGCATCAGCATCAGCATCAGCATCACCTGGGAACTGGTTAGAAATGCAAATATCTTGTATCCCACTCCAGACTCACAGAAATTCTTGGGATGGGACCAGAAGTCTGTGGGTTAACAAGTCCTGCATCTCATTAAAGTTTGTTTATGATTTCTGGAGTGTGGCTTTCGAATGGGAGAAGACCGTGGTGTGCTGCTGCCCCCTCGTGGCACTGTGCTGCCTGCTGTGACCCCAGCAGCCCGAGGCGGGGGGGGGGGGGGGGGGGGGGGGGGGGGGGAAGCCAAGGACATTGGAGGGAGGCAGGGACAGAACTTGGCCTGGGATTCCTCCCTGTTTGTGTGATGCCGCAGTTCCCTTTCCTTCAAATACTACAGAGATGCCTGTGAGGACCCCTGCACTGCCCTGACTCAGCCCCTTCAGCTGTCCCCAGATGACTCCCTGCTCCTCCCGCAGCCCAGCTCCCCCCTCCTCCTGCAGCTAGACTCTGCAGCCAGAGGCACTTTCTGGAGCACAGTTATGGTTAGATCACTCTGCTCAAACCCCTCTGAGGCTCAGGGCTGCCTTCTGGGATGGGTCCAGGCTCCTTCCATGACTCACAGGCCTCCTCGGTGCTCCACCACACTGGGTGGTTGGGGCTCCCCACTCCAGCTCCCTGGGGGCAATCTCCCTACCCCCCACTCCCGTCTAGCCTGGATGTCCCCTGATTATTCTCCCTTAGTGCCAGTTACCACGTCTACCTGAGGCCAACCCTCCCTTTGTGCGCTGGCTCCCACCCCTCTCGCCCTCCTGGGTGATGCAGCCCTACAAGGCCCCCTTTCCCCTTCTGTGCCTTCCATTTCTCCCTCTCTTCCAGATCATTCCCATCAACACACACGTGTGTTGGCTACTCCGCTAACAAGAGGCAGGGGGTCTTCTTCAAGGGGCAACTCCAGCAGCCTCACTGGGGGTACCAGGTACTATAAAAAAAAAATCCACCTGCCTCTTGATGGCTAAAATGCAGTCTAGGATCTCAGCCACGTTCTCAGCAACAGGGTCGCCATTGAGCCAATTCTCAAGAACTTTCTCCTCTTCTGCTATGATTAATGACAACATCAGGCGGAACCCAAGGGCAACAGCCCAGACCTCTTGGACACCCTGAGGTTGGCCAATGAGCACAGGTGTAAGTGTCCCATCACACTGATCTGGTTCTTATCTGTGGCCCATTCACTGCCTCCTGG